GGCGGTGGAAGAAGAAGAAGAAGACGAAGAAAAAGAGGCGTAGAAGCCGAAAACGATCGGCAGCCGACCGGTTCGGACCGGTTGAAAAGGGTTCGACACTCCTTTCGCCGGAAAGTACGGTAAACTGGTGACAAGTGGCTTGTTCTCTCACTTTTCTGTTTCTCCGCAGAATCATCGTACCTTTAAACACGTCGCGTCTCACCTCGTTAATCGGAAAAACTAGTAAACGCAAATCGTCGTTCTCTTGATTCGGCGATCGATTCCCGTTTCGTCGGCTATCACGCCGCCTCTCGTTCTTCGCGGAAAAACTGGTGTACCGACGTCGTCGCGTATCGGTGCGCGCGACGATATCGAAGCTCGCCGATCGACGAGTCAGACGGATCGTCGAGGTACGCGGATCTCGGTGGCAGACGAGACGCGGTGTTTTCCCCATGAGGCACGAGGCTTCCGCTTCTTGCACTTCGTTCTCTCCTTGTTTCCCTCTGCTTCCCTCTGCTTCCCTCTGCTTCCCTCTGCTTCCCTCTGCTTCCCTCTGCTTCCCTCTCTTTCTCTCCGCTACCTTTTACAGATTCTCGAAGATCGATCCTTTCGGCAGATAACGCGTTCTCCTCTTTGGGATTCCGAGGCGGAGGTGTCGCTATTCTCGCGATCGAGCCAGGCTCGAAAAATCGCTCGTTCGTTGCCGGTCGTACGTTATTTCCGTCAGGGGGTTAATCGATACCGAGAATCTCGCTGCTGTTCTTCTTCCTCGAAGCTCATGCAACATTTAACTTTCCGCTATATTCTCCTCGAGCTCGCGGCTCGCGCTTACGATTCCCTCGTCTCTTTCTTTCGATCTTGTCTTACCACAATGTACCTCTTGTCCTTTCTTTTTTTCATCTTCCTTCTCGTTCTCGTTAGAAATACCGATACGTCGGTCCAACTACCGCGTGTCCGTCTTCGTCATTCTTGCTCGACCGAAGTTGGTTCGAAACGACACCTGCCTGGATTTACCTCCACGGTAGCTGCACCGCTACGAGACGAACGTTCTCCGCGGGGCTCGCAGCTCAGCTATCTTCCGTCTTCTCCCGTTCTCTTTGTATTTACGGATTTCTCTCTTTTTCTCGTCGCAAAACATCCTGAAACACATGTTCCGGCACCTTCGAGACGCGCACCGTGGAACGTAAAGCACATCGCATATACACCTTCTTTCCTTTTTCCACTATTCCTCCTCTTCTTCCTCTTCTTCTTCTTCCTCCTCTTCTTCCTCCTCCTCCTTGTGGACACGCTTCTTCCAGTCTTTCCTCTTTTCCTCCCTTCCTCTCCTTCTCACCAACTCCTTGTCTCTCTCTTTCTATTCCGATCTTCGAGCGAAACTTGTTAATTGCGGCATTATTCGCGATCCGTAAACGATAACGATGTCTCGGCAGCGAAGTTCGCGATCTTGTGTCATCTCGAGGTCGTTCGCGATAATACGGCTCCTTCTGAGAGTTCGATCGGGTTTGGAATAAATACACGTAATCGGAATATATCGTGAAACTTCACTCGTTCGTCGAACGATCGCTTTTCGAATGGAGATCACGTTGATCCGCGAGGTGATTAGACCCACGAGGCGTGGAAAGAGTCGCCGCGTAATTAAACTAACAAGCAGGAATTTTTTGGCGACCGATCGGAAGGGCAAATCTGACGAGAACGAGATCACTGGCTGGCTGTTTACGCGGCTTATTCGATCGCACGAATTTTCTCGACGGTTCGTCGCTGATTCTTTTCATCGGATTTCGGAGAGTCGACACGCTAGAGAGGAGTTTGCCTGTGTAAAGATCTAGCAACGGACGAAACGAAGGGTTTTCACGGAAGGTGCAAAACACTTACTCGTAAGGGACAAGTAACAGGGGAGGGATGCTCTTAGCGTTGGCTCATGATGAAACTCACCTCTAATTAAAACGTCTGGCAGGTTGTGCAGGCCCTGCGGCGTCCACCCTCGCAATGTTCGCAATGCTCGTATGCCGGAGTAAGAGCCGAGCTCTACGACGCTCGTGCAGGGTGGTAGTCACGATTGCGTCGAGGGGGTGCTGCTGGGGAGGGGTGCTTGGCTTCCATGATCCAATAACGCCGACTTAATTAACTAACTGCTAACTCGCAAGCCTGTTAGCTCATTGATTTCGTATACGAGATCGTCGTCCAGCTCTGACTCGCTCTTTCTTTTTCTCTCTCCCTTTTTCTCTCTTGTT